TAAAACCAAACAAAAATATTTGCATTCCTCTTGCAAATTAGAGAGTTCAACTTCATTAGGAACATAGTTAATAGAGGACAGGGTTTGAAAGGCCGGCAAACTTCAAAGGCTTTCGAGCTAATTGATTTCAGATGTTGGAAAGTACGTCACGTGACATTTCGGGTGCATCAAATTCAGAAATTACTATAGCGTAGTATTACAGAAATATGATATTGTGCTTATAAATTTTAAAATAAGGCATTGTTGTTCTTGTTATGGCTTCGACAAGTTCGGCATACGATTCAGAAAGCAAAATTCACCCAATTCTGGGTGCTGGAGACGCAGATACAACGACGGAAGCGATTTTCATCAAACTATTTAGCTGCTGCAAATCAACGCGGATGAATTAACTGAAGAAATATCGACTTTAAGCACTCGACAAATTCTACAGCTAGTACTGCCAATTAAGGGAAAATCAAAACCCATGTTATATGACTTATCACGCATATGAGAAGGCATTGTCGATCATTCGAGAGGTAGGGAAAAGGAAAGAATATTTTCATCCATACAGAGAAGATAAAGTCGTGTTTTTGATGCTGGTGAATATGCCCGAACGGTTGACTTTGCTATTACCAGCAGATATTCTAAAGTTATTATAAACACTGAAGAAACTGCATGCTTTAATACCAGTAAATATCTTAATACTGTATTATTATATAGACAATATACTGTAACCTAGATATGAATGTCTTAAATAGTAGGCCCTAAGGCTTATGTCCAATTGTCAATTACAAGTCCAGATATTGACCAATATACAGTGATTCAATGTCTACTAACATGTGATTTGTTACTTTTGATCATTCTGTCACATCAAAATAGAATGTTATTCTAAAATTCCATGATATTTCATGCCCATCACACAGTTTCCAAGACCAAGTCTTATAATATATTAGACAAAGGAGATATCAAAGGAAATATCATACAGAGGAAATATCAAATTTCGATATTTCCTCTGTATAGTACAATATTGACCTAAGGGTATTAAACTTAGTTCTTATTCCTCTCCAAATGCTTTGTAGACCAACTGTTGGATGCCAGAAGATTTTACCTATGTGCAAAGGATTATATACCCAGAAATATTTTTTTAATGTTTGTATTCTGCTAGTAATTATCAGTGAAATCAGAAGAGTTTGGACCACCCAGCTTATGTTGCTGGGGAGGGGCCGTCAGCCCTGTGGATACCAAATTCATGACTTAATGATATTGCTAGAATTGCTGAATCGTGCTTTAGAAAGCACACAAGAATTAAGGCAAACCTACTTCTTTACACGTTGATAAAGTTATTAAGAATGTCCAAGCTCCTCCATTAGCAAAAAGTTTGTGGAATTACATTATTGAACAATCTAATAGCATTGCAGTATCAAAAGAATGCCAGTACGTCCTTGTGTTTTGAGAATATTGGTAAACTGTATGGCTGTTAAGTTTCAAATTTTGCCATTTATCGTGCTCCAGCCCGATTTCTGGTTCTGAAAGGCCCGATTCTCAGCCAAAGAGTGCATGCCAAGCAGGCTGGTCATTTCATTGTTTAACTGCCCCACACTCAAAGGGCACGTTTTGCATCTTCTGAAAACTTGGGGGGCCTTGGCCCCCGGGTTCCTATGCCCCTGGTTGACAGCCAATTTCAGATGTGAATAGTGTACTTATTCACTACGTCAGTGTGCTCTGATTCTAGCCGTTGCTGTCTCTCAAACCATGATAACTCAAAGTTGAGCCTACCAATGTCTTGTCTATTTGAAGTAAAACAAAATTTTGTGTAATAGTGATTTACTGTATATATTAGTATAAATTTTTACAAATTATTCAACTAAGGTAATATATTGTTCTAGTCTTATTGTTCACCTATTCATTTATAATCTGTTTTAATAATTATTTTATAACATATGTACAAATTATTGCATATTACTCTTTTGAAGCAGTGCTGTCATTAAGTTTACAAGTAGGTGGCCGAAAAATGATTGAACATTGAAGGCACAAGACTCCTAGAGGGGTCTGGGTGCATGCCCCTAACCCTAACCCTGAAAACTAAACAATTGGAAATGCCATTCCCTGCATTTGGGAAGGTATTTTACACATTCCCTGCATTTTGGAAGGTATTTTACAGAGTTCTTAAGATTACAAAACATTCTATCAAAGCCTGACCTGTTTGAAATCATTTAATCTTTTGTTTTAATTTTGATGTTCTGACAAGAGGAAGTAAAAGGTTTGTTTACTGCTTCACAGTTTTGTTTATATGAACTTTGTTCAGACAGAAGTAGGCAAGCTACAGGCCCTTAATGACAGCTCTGGGTACAAAAACCCCACAAAAGTTCTCACTAGATTACTTCTGTTTTATGTTACGGCAAGGCCTTTTCTAATCCACCATACCATTTACTCCTCTGACCAGTGTGACGACCAGCAATGTTACCTGGCTCCAATTGTCGATGTAGAGAGGTATGCTTTTCTGGGGTAAATTAAAGGTAGGAATAGCACCAGCTACAAGCCTTTTGCAGGTGGGAACTAAAGCAGAACATAAAATATCTGATTATATATACAGTAAGTTGACTTAATTTATACAAGTATTGTTAAGATAGTAATTATAATAAAATTCACAGCAAACAAGATTTATAATAACTGTAAATGGGGCTTTCATATACTATGACATGGCCAAACAAAAATCCTGTTACTTTATTATGCCAAAAATCTTGTTACTTATTATAGCCTTTGAATATTGTATAATACTTTGTTTACTGTATACGAAAATGTTTCTACTGTCCTCAGTGACAGTGTCCTGAATAATATGTATACCTTCATTTTATGAACACAAGGGTTAACTGTTATATAAATATGACCTAATGACCGAAACGCACTTTTATGCAAATCATTAATATTTAATATATTTTTCCTGCTCTATGACCATATGGTTAATACAAATTTGATCATTTGATACATGAAATATATACAGTACTTCTGCTAAGTTGTAACTTTCAAGCGTTCATACCGAAATATCAATACCTCTACCAGAGAAAGAAAATAACTTACATGTTTCGGCTGGGTCTTTTCAAAGTGTCTTTCACAAACGTGAAGTGTTTGTTGAGCGATTTGATTTCTTAAACGTGCATCTATCTCTCGATCCAGCGTCCTTTGTGACAAGCCTCGCCAACGCTTCGCGAAATTTCGTCGATAAATCGTCGTCTTTTGTCCGATTTCAAAAAATACTGAGATCAAAGTGTTTTCTACTAGTCCCGGGATATTCTTTCTGTAAAAGACGTTTTTCAAGTACTACAGCCTCCTCTGTAATACAATCTCCTATTACAAATTGATTTTGATGCACCCGTATTGTCACGTGACAGAGAACAATAACATAATTTGGCCACGCCCCCAGCTTCCAAACCTCTCCTCTATTAACTATGTTAGGAAGGACCGAACCTGCCTCGTCCCTCGTCGCTTCAGTTGGGAATAGAGATCAGTGGAAAAACAATGGGAGCGCGGTGCTTAATGGGAATGCGATAGAATCTGAAGCGACTCGGAAATCCCGCATCCAAGATGGCGTCCGTTGTAATGGCGGACGTTGACGAGGATAATGCAAATAGGGAGGCTTTTTCAAGGCCGTTACATAAGGCATTTTTGGCAAATAAAGTAGTTTGCCCGATGCCCCAGTGCGTCCAACATAAGTTGTTTTTTGAAAATAATGGATTAGCGCAGCATTTTCGTATGGCTCATAAAAAACAGATGACAGACCAAGATCTGTCAAATTCTTATTCGTTCATGAAACGTATGTATGGAGAGGAAACGTTGAAATATATTTCCTATTTATCGGAGAAGAGTACGAAGGTATGTTCATTTAATTTTACATAATTTACGCTCAATAATGTATCAATTGTCGCAATTTAATATATGTGCATATTTAAAAATATCAATATTTAAATTAATAAATAGCTTCGAATTTTGATTGTTGTAGACATTGGCGAGTGGTTCTTGGTTTGACGTTTCTGGAGAAGGAAAGGTTATTTCTATATTTGGCCAAGATCCGAAAGAAGTTGCCAAAATATATGGAATGTTTCTGTTGCACTCTGGCAAGCTAAAGACATACTGCGGATCAAAATAATCCCTGTCGAATCTCGGTACGTTGGCCTTTGGGAGAAGTATGCTTCAAAGCATGGTATACGCATGAGAAAATGGAAAGCAACGTCCAGGGAACTGTCATTGTTGTTGAATGCTATTTTGTAAAGAAGGTATGTGTTTTAAGAGTATTTTTGTGTGTGCTAATATAATATGTGCATTATATTCGCATGGCATTAAAGAAATATATTAACATTTGTGATTTGTGCTACAAAAATTATGAGCATACCTGAATCTTTTACCTGAATAAGTAGAGACTGTTCAAAGATATTTTTTAATACAGTGTACACTGTTAAAAAGCGACATTCATCCATTCAACTGATTTTTTCCTTTGTAGTTTAATTTAAAACATGAATAATTGTCATGTTTAAACATGAAATTTAATACATGTGAACTGATCTTGTTCTTATACAATTACTTTATGGTTTCCGTGTTTGGATGGCCTGATCCAAACACGCGGGAATGTTGCGAGAGTTAAGAAAAGCGAGCGAAATCACGAGCCCAAGTGTTTGGATCAGTCCATCCAAACACGGAAACCATAAAGTAATTGTTTTATAAAATAACAACAACACGGTAGTCTTCCGTGTTAGGATGGCCTGATCCAAACACGGCTTTCGACCAATCAGAATACGCGTTATATACATGTTATTTTATAAGAGTATTTCACACTTGGTTAATTGCAGATGGCGAATCTAATTTTGTCGCTGTAGAAACTAAAAAGGGCTGGTTTAGTTTTGTAGGTTTGCATGCATAACAGAATGGGTTAGGGTTTTATTAAGGGTTAGATTTACAGTATATTTATAAGCAATAGCATAAAAAGAAGCGAATTAGCGAAGAAGCGAATTAGCTCGTTTAGTATAATTCCCTTGGGCGCCGCTCGATGAGGGCCGCTCGATGAGGGCCGCTCGATGAGGGTCATTTAGTAAAATTCCCGAGGGCCGAAGGCCCGAGGGAATTTTACTAAATGACCCGAATCGAGCGGCGCCCAAGGGAATTTTATTAAACGACCCTCATCGGGCGGGACGTTTCAATAGCTAATTCGCTTCTTTTTATGCTATTACCTTATAATATCATGATTGCGGGTATTCCTGTTGCAGGCAGGGTCATTAAAAACCAATTAAAAATAAATAATGATATAAATTAAATGGTATAATTGTTTTCCCTGTCTTTGTTTAGTTTTGGCGTTTCAGATATCTTCATTTATATTCATTTTTTCTAATCGTACCCGCTTTGACGTCGTTTCGGGTAGGATTATAACTAATTCTACCTGACATGACGTAAAAGCGGGTAGGATTAGAAAAAATGAATATAATGAGGTGTATTAGTTATTAATTGCCCTGCGAGAACAAAGGGAATACCTGCAATCATGATATTATTAGATTTATGGTCTAATGTCATGTCAGGAAAATGCATATTTGTGTAACACATGCAACTGCAAAACTAACCACCAATACCGACTGTAAAATGTAAATTATGCATTTAAATCATTGAGTGGCAGCACTCTCCACTTGACGAGTAAAATCGTGTGGCGTTAGACATGGTGAAATACTCTGGCGTTAAACAGAGTAAAATACTAAAGTTGGGTGCATGAGGGTGCATTGCCACTTAAAGGGTTATAACTTCTTCTGGCATCATGCATATAAAAAGGTACGTTTTATATTAACTCATTGAGCCGCAATGTGCCCTACTTATTTGTTTACTTGTCTAATGCCAGACAATTTTACTTGTCAATGGGAAGCTCTGCAGCTTAATGGTTAACCAAAAAATCTGACAATGTGTCTAGTTAACCCATTGAGCCACAATTTGCCTAAGTGCACCCTATTTATTTTTTTACTGTGTTTGATTTTTTTTTTTTGGGGGGGGGTGAGCATAGGTGGGAAAAAATATTTAAATAAATCACTTATTATTACTTCACTATGGCTAAAGTAGATTTCCTTAACTAGTTACCTTGACGATTACTTTGTGTCAGGTAAAATATTGTTAAATTAATTTCTATTAATCAATCATTTTATAGCCTTTGCACCATGTGCCAGTAGCGCAGAACCAAACGACACCATCAACAGTTACAGAGACTGTACCTGCCTACATGCCATGTGAAACAAGTGCAAAACTTGCTGTGTTACGTACCATATTTAAATATGACAATTTTAAGGGTAAGCAAGAAGAGGCTATTGATGCCATATTATCCCGCCATGATAGCCTTGTTATATTACCCACAGGTGCTGGAAAAACACTGTGTTATGCGATCCCAGCCATCATTTCTGGTGGAGTAACAATTGTTGTATGCCCACTACTATCGTTGATGCTTGACCAAGTACAAAAATTAAGATCAAAAGGACTAAGTGTAACATACATTAATTCCAGTATAACAAAGAGTGACCGGGATGCAATTATGCACAATATGGCTTCAGATGATCCACCATATAACTTTGTGTTTGTTACACCTGAAACTGCTGTATCCGAGGATGTTAAAAGTTTATTATCGACCATGAAAGGAAAGGACACTTTGAAATATATTGTGGTGGACGAAAGTCATTGTGTTGATATGTGGGGACTAGGTTTCAGGCCAGCATATGCTGAACTTGGATCTCTTTCAAGCTTATCTTGTCCCATTGTTGCACTAACAGCCACTTGCACTTCAAGGACTGAGAAGGTAATCACTTCATCACTGGGACTTACCAATCCAACTATTGTTAGGCAAACATGTAATCGGGAAAACATTTCGTTGTTTGTTAAGAGGAAAAAAGGTGATGGGAAAGAGCAAGTGGTTGATGAAATTCTGTCAAATCACAAACAAAACTGTGGTATTGTGTATTGTTTGCAAAGAGCGGACACAACTGATATGGCCTACCTTTTGCAAACCAAAGGGATTAATGCAACATACTACCATGGCGCACTTGATCCATACAAGAAGAATGAAAATTTTCAATCATGGCTGGATGGGAAAGCTCTTGTCATGTGTGCCACAGTTGCATTTGGGATGGGCATTGACAAACCGGATGTCCGGTTTGTCATTCATTTAAGTTTACCACCATCTCTCGAATGTTATGCCCAAGAATTTGGGCGTGCTGGCAGGGATGGAAAAGAAGCAACTTCAATCGTGTTTTCCCGCTTTGAAGATCGTACACGACATCTGAAATTGATCAGTGAGTTAATGGATGGTGATCACCGATCATTAAAGCTGAAACAGTTGAACGAAGTTGTGAAATTCTGCATTCAACCAAAATGTAGAAAGCTTCATTTGGTCAACTATTTTGGCGAGGATTGTGAACATCTTTGTTGCAACATGTGTGATGTATGTTTGGAGAAGACAAATGCAGAACCCCAAATTGCAAATGATCAAGCTCTGGATGTACTGAGTTGCCTTAAGAACATGTGCATGTCTCAAAATAAGGTTACTTCCAGTTTGCTGATGTTGGTGTATAGAGGATCGAAACGGAAAGAGGTCACAGCCAAGTCCTTGCATGTTGTTCCTGAGTTTGGCAAGGGAAAAGGTGTTTTCTCAGAATATGAGCTAAAACAATTCATTCAAGTATTAATTACAGAGGATGTTATTATTGAAGAACTAAGAGGACAAAAGGAAAGTGGTTTACACCCATATCTACGCTGTGGAGACAAAGAAGAATTCATCAGGCAAGGTGAACTAACAATTCTAAGATACAAGATGAAATGAAATATACGGACTGACAATAAGGTGATGACATGGTTTTATAGAGAAAAAAAGTACAGAATGGAGAAACATACTCTTAAGAGTTAAGTAACAATTATTCGCATGCCATAAGTCAATACACGCTTCCGGAAAGTACATCACTTTGGCGTGATTGAAACGTGAGCTTCAACTGATGTCAGATACACGAAAGCGAGGCTCAAAAGCCAAAGTGACGTACTTTCCTGAAGTGTGTATTACTTTGTCAAGTATTAAAAGTAATTTTTACTCATATACACACATACGGTATTTAAATATGTTAGAGCTGCTCCCGATTAATCGGAATACTTTTCGACAATGCTTAACAGTGATCGGATCATCTACAACACCACACAGCGTGATGTGGGAATGAGTTAATGTCTTTCCGGATTAAAAAAATTGCAACAAGATTGTGATTGACACATTAAATGACAAATGGATTTAAAATGTTGTGGGTCAAACACATAGTCAAATATCAATTTCACTTGCAGCGTGCAAAGTTTACCATACTCTAATTGTGTTTCCCAGTGCTGCAAAAAATTTTTTTCTAGATTTTTTATCAGAAATATTTATTACCATTTGCGTCCAACATTGCAGCAGACATAAACCAATTATCAATAAGAGTCAGTCTCGCAAATTTATTTAATATAGTTTATGATTAATGTTCATTTTAAACTCAGATCTAAAACGTTTATAAGTTATACTGACTGGTGCAACCCACAAAAAAATTAGTAAAAAGTTTAATTACAATTTGCAAACCTGTCAACCACCATATGGGCTTGTCATGTTTAAATTAATTATCAATACGATTAATCGATTGTTGACAACAATTAATCGATTACGAAAATTAACCGATGGGAGCAGTTCTAAAATATGTAGTTATTTAAACTAATAGTCAAAACTCACCATGGTTTGTAAACTTGATCAGCGAGTGAACCATACAATATCACTTATATCTGTTCCAACACAGGGTTATGCCTGAATGTTGACATTTCTCATCATATGTGTATTGTATCTTTCGTTTAAACAACCCAAGCAGACCATAACAATGTTTTGGTTTCATTACCCAATACTCGACTTTGAACAGTCGAGATATTGTTATTGGTCATTTGGATTTACTGGTGTTGTATGAAAATTGTTGTATGTTACAATAAACATGTGATGAAAAAGGTCAACATAAAGCGATACAAATATACCTGTCGCGTTTTAGGGGTAGTTACTATTTTTAGACTTTTGTAATTTTGTATTCTTTTGTATTTTAAACTTAACCCTAAACCTGACTCTAATCTTAATCCTAACCCCTATCCAAACCCTAACCCTAAAAGTCTAAAAATAGTAACTCCCCCTAAAACGTACTCATATGGAGGCAGTATGGAAACATCTATGCAGTCGTATACTGTACATGCACTTTTAGTTTTTACAAATAAGTTCTTTGAAGGCCAAATAGTATGAAAGTAATTTTTCAATATGGACAGTTATTATAAGAATTAGAGAATATTTATCAACTTATTTTTCAAGAACACACTGTAGTACATACTAAATATTAATACAATGGGGCTCAAAATTTGAAAGGTAGAAATAATATGAATTAAATTATCATGTCCATAACAGGTTTATAGTTCTCAGCAGATCTGTACAGAGTGAAACAGTAAAAGGATAATCCAACGGGTGTTCGACATTGAGATCGATAATTTTTCTACACAGCCAGAAAATGTATTCTGTTAGCTGTCCAATGGGCAGTGATATCAGTCTGAATCGCTTTCATATTCTTCAACTACACCTGCATTTGAGTCCTTCATTATACCATACAACGCAAACAATTTCCGATCAAAATTCTCAACGACTTTCTTCTTTCCACTTTCATAAGCATCTAGGTTGCTGGTGGATATGCATGCGTTTATTGGACCGCCAAATTTCTTGACGGCTTTCCTGTCCAGCATAGGATTCAGAAACTTCTGTCTCAATACAAAATGCGCTGCCTTGATCTGGTCAGGGAAGGAATCTTGCTCATGATGCTTTGTGGTTGGATGCACATTGAATGCTTCACGAGCTTGAAATGATTTCCTTGTTTGAATAAGAATATCAATATTTGACATTAAACGCTGTAACATCTTCACTGTGGTATGCCCTAGAAATATGAAAACTGCATGTAATTATGGGGTACACTAACCCAACCAAAACTAATAGCATGGGGAAAAGGATAGGTCCTAAAAGAAAACTCGTTGTTGGCGTGTGTGGCAGATGCAAAACCCTCTGCCTCAAGTTGTTTTTGACAAAAATTCTAGACAGAAAATACAAAATTTAAATTAGCAGAATCAGAAGGATACACTATTAAAAAATAGATACACACTAACCTGTTGAATACTTCTTCAAAGGTTGCACAATACCACTTTCAACCCACTCGTCTAGTGCAAGGTTGTGACCCTCCTTACCATTTAAGCTAATCGAACAATTTCTACGCAGAAGTTCCCTCGTCGCAAGAGGCCACATGGCAAGGAAGTTTACAATATGGACCATTGCTTCTGTGTGGTAATTGCGTTTGTTTGATTGAGCAAAAAGCGGTTGCAATATCATCCAGACTGCTTCTCTTGCAAGACCATGTCCATACCTAAAAGTGTCGAAAGAAAGTTTCTTTATAGAACAATCAATATATGGATACAGATACCACCATATATGTGCAGCGAATGTCTCTTTGAGAAAACATACGTTAACGCTTTTCCGTTTAAATGACCAAAAAAAATAGGTAGTAAACGGTTTGGATGATACGTTTTAATAGTAATCGTTCACCGTTTAAACGGATGACGAACGCGGTACATAAACTTTTTTATCCGTTTTTCTCAAACCGTTAACGTATGTTTTCCCAAAGAGGGTCACAAATATAGTTCTCTGTTTTCCTTCGAAAGAAACCACTCTGTTTCATCCGTATATGAATCTTTTCTGACAATTCATATACGGTTGGAACAAGCTGCGGTGCGTCATATATACAGCTATTTCAATTAAGGTAGTCCAGCTGTATGTGTATGTTCTGTTGTTAGTATTATATGTTTTACGTCAATAGTCTGTGAAACTGAGTCCCATATGGGGAAGCTCAACAAAGTATGTTATGTTATACCTTACTGCATTCATATACAATTGCTGTAATGGACCAAACAATGAAAACATCTGGGAATAGTATTTGAAAGAAACGTCTTCACAACTTTCACTCATCCACTGTTTCATCTTGGATAACAATATTGCACTATGATTTCCGTTTGACCGTTTGCAATCATCCAGCTCATCTTGGCTTGGGAAAAGAATGGATTCCTTAAATTCCAACACTGCAGCTATGCCAAATGCCATAGAAGTATCACGCACTGCCTCTTGAATTCTATTTAGGTTTTGATCCTGGAATTTCTTCTTCCCAAAACTCTCAGCCGTTATCTTTTTCCTCATCAGAACGTTTTGTAAAATATGCATGAACCCCCCAGGCGACATCACTTTTTTACAAACTTCATACATGTACCCCTTCGCATGCATGTCACCTGGAACCTCTGCAGCCCAGCCATATGCTGACTGGGAACGCCCTTTAACCCCGCGGATATTTTTATTAGTTCCCTGGTCACCAACAACTAGCGTAACGGATGATTTGTTCTTTCTTTCGTAATTGTAACGGTCGCTTTCCGTTTCAACAACCTGGTTTTCATGGTCTACACGTCCTACATTTGTGGTTGTTACTTGCTCTTCACTTTGAAATGTTCTCCAAATTTCATCGTTGCTGGCAGATTCCTTGTTTGAAAAATCCTCCATTGTTTTTTGAACATTCATTTCCAATTTCGTTGCAAGAGCATATGGGCTTGGAATAGTAGTAAAATAACGGCTGTCGAAGATAGCACAATTATCCAAAAGATACTGTGACATGTGCTCATCTTTCTTAATAACAGCAATGGTTAGAGGCGTTGCACCGCATAATTCTTTAGCGTTTATGTCAAATCCCACTGTTATGAGGGTTTTCACCAACGGTATGTTTCCATTTTCTACTGCAGCATGTAGAATGGTCCTTCCGTTGTGATCTTTCACATTCTCCCAATAATTTCTGTGACTCGATAGCCAATCAATAAACTTGTCAAATCTTGATGTATCTTTGTCTTGTTGAGCTCCCCACATTCGCTTAACAATGTTGTCAAAAGTATTCTTGAACTTGGCATCTACCTTCTGCTGGCTTGTAGTTGAAATGGAAACTGTCGATTCTGGTTCCAAATCTGTGGTAGGTAAATTGAATGCCTTCTCAACTTCATTCAATTGCTGAACTGTTCTGGCCATTTCTGTTTTATGTATTTTTAAAGAAGCCAGAAATTCATGGTGTGTCCGGGCAGCTGAGAGATCGAATGTCTGATTTTTGCTGTCAAAAGGCAAGTAGTCTTTAGCGTGTTCGCAAGGGATACCAAACTCTTTGCCAAATTCCTCAAATATCGCAGCAGTACCTGCAGTGGTCGCATTATTCTCCAACGACAAAGGAAGTATCAATGTTTCTGACTTTTGACAGTTTGAGTCGGATTTGACACTCAGAACAGGAATAGCTATGTCATATTTGGGTGTTGGTTGCTTTGTAAAATCTTGATTTTTAAGCCACTTATCAAAATTCTTTTCATTCATCTCAGTTAACTTCTTACTGCGACTCGGAATAGAATTCAGGCCAGTATCAAGTAGTTGCAACAAAAAGTTGTCTTGAACCTCATTCCACACTCTCATGTGATCTGGATGCGTTTCTAAAAATACAGAAAACAAGTACAAAACAAGTAAAATACAGAAATAATTGATAAAATAAATGTACGAAAAACATGACTTTGCTATTGCCAATATTAAATGGATGTAAAACAGATGTTACAGGATAACACATGTTTCTCGCACGCTTACTTAATTGTTTTTCGTTTAGTTTCAGTACTGAAAATAATAAAATCACTACCGCAAATGCAAGTGTTTTTTTATAAGTGGTTATGAAAGGTCCAGTTTCCCAAAAGCAAATTTAATTACTCAGTGTGATTCTTGTGTATCAATACTGTTGTGTTGTGTTGTGTTGAAAAGTATTGATCAACATAAATTATGCTGGCTTGCAAAATTTTTTTCAAACTTTTAAATGAGTGAGCATCACAAGTATCAATAACATAGACTTTTAGTTCTTATGTACAGTACGTGTCTTATAGAACAATGTACGATGTAGCAGAAACATTAACAACATTAATATTAAGTTCTTTGTATGTTTGCATGGCGATAAAACATATAATAGTTTTCTTTGTGGAAACACCACGTAAATTTATTACTGCAAATCTTTCGATCCGTAAGCCCAGATCTTCATCAGTGCTAATAATATGTCGTATTAATTTTCATGATGTAGATTTTGCATTTAGAAACAGAGTAGGATAGAAAATAGCATAAATGAACGGCACCGCACATCAGGGAAATTAAATACGAGTATTAATTGCCAAGTATACGAGTATTTTACGCTACGACATATTATTAGCACTGATGAAGATCCGGGCTTACGGATCGAAAGCTTTGCAGTAATATAAAATTTACGTGGAATTTCCACAAACAAAACTATTATAACATTAATACCATGCAGTATTATTCTTTACCTATAAAAGTATCTTAAGCCATCAATTTCTCTGGTTCTGAACACTGTGCTTTCTCTGCAGACTCTTCGCATTGAAACAAGTGCTCGATTTCTGTTAGATTGGGAACCAGTAATCCACGAACAGTAAAGTTCCACATATTAGGGCCAAGAACCTTAAAAAGACGGTGATGTCTCCTGTTTCCATGATACATATTGACGTTATCCATCAACAAAATCACAGGCTTCGAAGTTGGTGCACATTTATCGATTAAGCTTTGAAACTCCGTCAGACGTTTATCCAAAAATGACATGCTGTCAAAAAAGAAATCCATATAATTTTAAATATCTATACAAGACAATAGCAATATGCATTATGCATTTTTGAGAGTTGCTTCTTGAAAGATTTTACAAAAATAATTCTAAACGATCTTCGTGCATGCATCAGTCATGTAGTCAACGTTGTACAAAATAGTGAGTATACACAAAACAATTCACAATGCAAAATAAATTATAAGAAATTTCGTTGGTTCGTGAATGTGTTGCACTGCAATCTTTGTTAACCGTTGTTCTGTGTAAAAATCAACAGTTACGTAAAAGTCAGACGGGACAAAAATTTAAATATGAAGGGAAATCGGTTTCCAAGAAATTTATCCTGGATTTAAATTCAAGGCAAAAATTGTTACAACTGTTACACAGCGTATAATATACGTCAGTTTGGTTTTGAAATGTGTTCCAAAATGACGTAACGGATCGGTTATTCGCAAAATATTTGACACTGTATTAGAATCTATTAATTTCCAGTTGGAGCAAAATTCGAAATTTAAAGATTTTCAATATGCCACATGTTTTCTTCATGTTTTCAATGAGTCATATGATTCATGCAAAACATGAAATATCCTGCAATCATGCTTTTCGTGGAGGGACGAAAAGTCTGATACAATCCAATATATGTTGGTTAAACTGCATGAATTCATTCAAATCGACAATTTATTATATCAGACTTTTCCTCACTCAATGAAATTCCTGATCGCTGGAATCACCCTCTTTTGACTCTATGACAGATCTAGAGGGCCAGTATGAATTATCAATTTACCCGGCCTTACTTTAATGCAGAAGCAAACTTGAGTGACTAGAATATAGCCTGTGACTCTAGAGTCAAAATGGGAATACTTCAAAATTAAAAATTGCTGGTATTCTGTGTGAGGTAAACAGCAACCTCGTACCCAGGGTCTTTCCTCTTGGCAAGGGGAGAAAAGACGCTGGTCACATGATCTGCTAGAATCTAGCATATTTTTTAATTAGCAATGCAAGATGAGATCAATAAATATTTGATATTTAGATGATTTTTATAGTTTAATTTATAATTTGCATTTTGTATGATTGTCGTAAAGGAATCCAAGATAGTTAATTAGAAATCTGCTAGATTTTAGCAGATGATGTGACCAGCGTCTACCAGGGTCTTTTCTCCACAAGTTCAGGGAACACAAGAAAAACTATGCATTCACCATCTTTAACTAATTTATAGTGTTAACTAACTTATTTAGTGCAGGTGTCAGCCCCACCCCCAGTAGGGGGTGCAGCCATCCCAGCTGTACAGCTTAACTCAATCTTCTCTTCAAAAACGGACCCAAGAGAAAATCCTGAAAAAAACACTGCCAAGAGGAAAGACCCTGGGTATAAGGTTGGGTAAACAGTTTAAAAGGAAATTAATTGAAGAGTATATTCATGTAACAATTATAAGTGTAAATTGGTATAATGTAATATAAATATAATTAGTACTCACATGGTGTTCCAATGTAAAGAGAGTCCCATTGATTGTAGCATATCTACAAACTGTTTTCCTGCACCATAAGATATACACAGAAGGCCAAATATCATAGGGAAACAATTTCTTGTCTTCGAGTTTCTGATGTTACTCATAAAGCCAAGTATTTGCAAACCACATATCATTTTATGTGTATTCGTCTTCAGAATATTGCGGCTGATAGGGTTGGAAATGATAATAGATTCTAGCATATCATGAATCAAAGGACACCTCAGTTGTACTGCTTCTAAGATATCTTTGAACAGTAATGCAGTTATGTTGGTTGATGGATCATCTTCTGAGGAGCCTCGAATGTTAGCATCACATATCTTTTCAAGAACTTTCATTTCCTCTTTAATTGTGTTCTTTTGCTTGTTTGATAATGTATTTTTAGGAACATCAGACTTCAATTTTTGGATTTCTTCCTGGTACATCTTCAAAAGGAAAGAAACATGTCTTTCCCTAGTTTGGGATTCTCTTGCGTACTGTGCCAATATAACAGAGATATCACCACCTTGGTTATAGGTTGACATGATAACTGTCCATATTTCATTCATAACAGAGTCAGATACTTGTAAGTTTCTAAGCAGGTTGGCTATGTGTTCTGTTTGAAATAGAAAATGCAAAAACATAACTTTTTACCCATAATTTATTTATTTCATTATCTATCTAATAATATACAGGTATGAAATTAGGGTGTGTATCCATGTTGTTCATATTATTTCAAAACAATTCATGTCATAGTTTGAAAACATCACTTTTGGAATTTGGCTATTGTTGCCCTTCATTTGCATTGATGTCACTGTCACAATTGCAATAGAATTTGTTATAAATGTCACTATTTCATTTTGTGCATGTCACTATTTCGAGGTAATGTCAATTGTTGGATTTACCATAACAGGGTCTCGTGCGATAGCCTCCTCACAACACATGTTACACACACAGACATTCAGAGGATGCTCCTCTGGATGTCTGTGTGTGTAACATGTGTTGTGATAGTATGACATCACTTTTGAGATAGAAGAGACCTTCACAAGGAGGCTATATCTGTGATAATATGGTCAGTCACACAATTTTCATTAAAAAAAAATTACACAATTACTACAAAATTATTTCATGCGACTTATTATACATTATAACCCATTTCCAGATTCCTCCTGCACATATCAAGTCAATGGGGGAGATCAGTAGCATTGTTGTCATAATATGACTCAATATCTATTGTCAACACACTGCCTCAAACTTGCAACCCAAGGGTTAGTGACAACAGGTATAAACACCCTGACTTGTGAAGTTGACAATGAATTGAGAAAGAAGCCGACTTTTGTAAATTAAATATAAAGTTCAACATACCATTCTCATTATCCGCAGGCTCTTCATCGGCATTTTGAGAAAATTGCCCAACAAGTTTTTTTAAATCCAGATTTTCAAAGTACACTCTACATGTATATCAATCAAGGGAAAATACATATGCCAATATGGAAACAAACATATTAACTGATTACTGTAAATAAATGTCAAATTTTCCTTTGACAAATAAAAATATAAATTGTCTGGCGTTATATTTATAAAGGATATAAAGCTAAAGTAGCCTTCATGGAGGTGTTAAAGATTGTTCAGGTAATTCAGCATGCTTCTTTGAAAAATCAGGCACAATAGGGCACAGGGGATTTATTTTCTTCAAATTTATAAGGAACACAAATACTCCTTAAAAAAGGCTTGAATCTAGGTTCATTCATTTTGTTTGTTTTATTTGTTATTATAGATTATTAATTAGGGAGCCTGCACGAAGGTTAACAAATAAAACAAAACAAATACTCCTAATACTCATATAATGTCCTTACAGCTTGATGAATCAGGAGTGTGACTCTGGTTACAAAACCAATACACAACTTTTGCTAAAAAGACTCATATAATTATTATAGATAACTGACACTATAATTACAATGGCAAAACTAATGTTATATCTGTTTATTTGTTCAAATAAAAGGATACTGTTTTTGACCCATTTTTACTTCCCTTTTTATGTAAACACCAGGAAAGGTTTCTTTTACGACACGTGTTACAAGAGTTTTCCTGTCTTCGTCCAAAGCCAAATAGGTTGAAACTGTGGAAAATTTGGTTTTTGCACCTTCCTTCAATTCAAAGCCTTCTCTCAAATGCAGTGACAAGGTTTCCCTCCTGTTGGTCACTTCTTTTCCACACGGTTTTCCTCCTACATTGATGATATATATGGCCATCATATTACTTTCCACATTTCATGACCTTACAATCATTGAAATAATCAATAATATCTTGACAATAATAAGATTTGCTCCTATTTACTGGTAATAACTGGCAATGCTGAACCTGAGAGGGGGGTCTATGACTAATGTAAAATGCTAATTTTAGTTATAAAATTTATTTATACATGGCGGCCTGTTCAAAACTCTTTAATTAACCTGGTTGTTGTCAAATGCCGAGAAATAGACCAACATGAACCTGAGACCCCATTGGCTAATTTTCACTCAAAAAATGATTATTGATGTGGAGCGAGCGAGCCTGAAGTGAGCGAGCGTAGCAGCAGCATAATATATGCAGAGTGGGGGTTTTGAACTAAATTTTATTTAGCACATGGAATTGTGGTCGTGCGCGCTTTCTATGCGCAGAACACAAATTTTAAACTCGCTTGAGTCTTCGAATTTTTATCAAGTCTAATGTTACGCTTTACATTTGTTTTGGACTTTGGCCACTGTCAGTTCTATATTTCTATAAAGTTTTGGTTTCTTAGTGTGATAAATCTGTGTATATAGTCTATATAATGTGGTAAATGTGCCTAGCAGTAAACAGACTTGATATGAAATCTGATCTTAATTTACCTGTATGTCAATGAGATGCACATGTTTAATATCTGTCACCTCTGATTGCCCTTTAACCCCTGGTCTTTGCTACTACAAATATTTCATTGCTTCTTCTCAGTTCCTGAGTTCCATTCATAGCTCACTAGATGCTGCGAGTAATCACTGTGCTTGATATAATTTGTGCTGTTTACTGTAGTTCTATTTGCTTTTAATGCCCGCAGCAATCCCTACCTTGCAGGTACCCTAGTTTTTAATTATATAGCATCATAGCATGGATTAATTGCTATTTTAATTAAGCAAAATCCTACACATTTGGGAAAAACAAAGAGTAACTTACCAACATAAAATCTCTTCGCTTTTGGTAAAACTTTCGATGAGGGCGTTAGTTTATGTTTCCCCTGGGCAGGACTTATTGTTGACTCATTTGTTGAGGCCGAGGTTGAGGCGTTTGGCGTACTCGCACGTGGAAAATATTCTGTAGAATGTAAGGAATACCCAATTGTTAAATCAGTAAATAAAAATAATACGTATTATAAAGCATTTACCCAACATTTACAGAGTTCTATAGGTACAATTACTTTCAGGAAACAATATAAAACATAAAAACCTGATCAAAATCTCGCCTATGTTATATTTTTATACTCAAAGAGTCAAAGCTACCTTGATATAAAATGTCAACACTCACCATCATCTTCATCAAGAGATAAATTTTCCATTGATATCTCTAATTCTTCGCATGATTCGGACAAAAAACTTTCCATATACAACAAAGGGCCGCTATCGTCCAAAACATCCTCGATTTCTTCCATATTAGTTGATTTTTCAAAGTTTTAGAGCACATTTGCAAGTTTTCGAGCGTTTTTGCAAGTTTTCGAGTCACGATTTCACAGTCCCTCAAATCAGCGCTGCCTCAAATTACGCGACCGCGCGTACAAATGAGGGACTGTGGAAGAGTCAGGGACCGAACCAGGGATGCCGGAAGTTGCTGGGGGCAAGGGGTGCAATTGGTTAACAAGAGGGCATATTCCTTAACAAAAGGGCACTAATGAAAATTAAAGGGCATCTAAAAATTATTTTTGGCGACCTACCATTTTAGGGGTAAAAAAAATTTTCCGGACATACCACAATTTTTCCTAAATACGAAAAAAATTTTCCGGACATACCGAAAAATCTTCCGGAAAATGCAACCTCGTCCCCAGGGTCTTCCTCGTGGTGGCGCGCGAGCTGAGGAAGACCCTGGTAAAATACGATGAAATCTCCAAGATTCTTGGAGATTTATCGCATGCGCAGTAACGACAACGTTATGTTGCTGACTACAATTAGCGCTGGCGCTTACGATTTTCTTGCTTAAAAATATACATATTTTGTTGATTGTTTATGGATTTATTCTCAAAGTTTTAACAACTTTTACGAAAAATACTTCAGATATAAGCTGTGAACACACATGTACACAAAACTGTGCAACATTCATCATCATATTGTATCAATTTGTCAGAGTATGGCGCTCAAATTTGTGACATTGTTTTGTTCGCTTTGGCAACCCTCGTATATATCAGATGCTGTTCGGCCTCAAATGCGACTGAATAAACACTGATAGTGTTGCCTGGAATATGAAATGATATTGAATAATTATTCCGTATATCAAGGTACGTACTGTACATTTATACTGGATTTATTTTCACACGAGTTTCAAACTATTTCAGCTTTATGAACAATGAGATCACATCACTAACATACAGAAAGACTCCATATTTTCTCATCAAATCTGATTATCGTTACAAGTAACAGTAGAAATGCTTCAAAATTTATTCTGTATGTAAAGCAGGCCAGCATGTTTCATTTTCTTTTGGTGGTAGTCACCACTCACCAAGTTAAATAGGCCATTCCATTTAATAGCCCCCCCCCCCCTATTGTCTATTGAGGTCTGGATATCCTATATGAGGATTTTATAGAGGGGGTTTTTACCTTAAATGTTTCTGGAGGGTAGCTTAAGAGATTTCCTAAAAATTAGGTGTTTTAGTGATATCCAAAGGGGCAGGAACAATATCCTAAAGGGGTAGAAAGACATCCATAGGGGTTCCAAAATTGCATCCAATGGGGTTCCAAAATTATTAAAAGGTATTATGAAGAGACCCCTCAATAGGGTGTGGGGGGGGGGTATATTAGATGGAATGGCCCAGTGTGCTGCAACAACTTTTAAAATTTGTATATATGTTTTTAAGGCACAATATGTGATGGAGTTTGATATGATGATCAGCACAACCTGAAGGTCTTGACTGAATGAACAACTTATCTGATATACTCGTACTTCCAATACTTTGCTGTATGTTATCACCAGCTCAGATGTCAGTTGGATCACTTTGAATGAACATTGGAGTGGCACAATAAAGTGTCTGTATTAGGGAGGAGTTTAACTGAAGTAAAAGGCACACTTTTGGATATTAATCTGAATCATAGCAACTACATATACTGTAGGTTTCAAATTAGTTTGAACAATGAACAACTGAAAATAGAAATTTATTTAATTGGAAACACTTAAAGGAATAACAACATATTATATGATAGTCATATGTACATGATTATAGGTATATTCATTAGTTTTACTAGCTGATATTTATGACTATCCTGGGACAACATTTTATTTTTCCCAAGAGATTTTACTTGCATGATAGTAATAAGTTTAATAGTAAGAGAGAAGTGTGATGGATATGTGCAAGTAATTATCATTAGAAATACAAATATTAAACTGTAATTTTGATCATTGTAAATATTATTAAAGAAACAAAATACAAAAGTCACACAAGGCTATTTAACATAATACAGTCATAATACTAGACTGGTTAAAGAACTACTGAATAGAGGGATCATGAAAATCTTCTAAGATTACTACCATAGCTCTGTAACAGGAAAAGGTATAGTGAGTTAAGGTTTCTTCACCTTGATGAACAAAATTATATAGCATTAGAAAACTATAATGCCATCAACTAACTCCCATTTAAAATTTTTCATGTTGGTCACTGTGAAATATAATCTTGAGGCCATCTTAATGATTGTTTACTATCTGATTGATGACATGATTATATATATTTCCATGGAATTCAAATTGGCTTTTCCCAAGTTCATGTGAAATATGGTTCACCTGTTAAAATAATAAAATGTTTATTAGTTGTTTTGTAACAGAACAGTACCTGCTTTAAAGAAAATATAGGAAAGAGAAAATCGAAATAACAGTTGTACTGTATATGGAAAACACTTCAAAACAGAATAAAATCTTTCTAAGCATTTCTACTGTTATCATAATTTGATTAACTGATGAGATAATATGAAGTTTTTCTGTATGTTAAAAACTGTGATTTTTGAAGAAGTCTTTCTGTATGTGTGAAATGAAGTCTCTGTATGTGTGAAACTGTGTTTAATAGAAAATGTGATTTCCGAGACTCTGAGAAAATGTCAAAGCAACGTGTGAAAATAAATCGAATAAATCCAGTATAAATTTACAGTACGTACCTTGATATACAGAACAATCAGTCAATATCATTTCATATTCCAGGCAACACTATCAGTTTTTATTCAGTCGCATTTGAAACCGAACAGCATCTGATATATACGAGGGTTGCCAAAGCGAACAAAACAATGTCACAAATATGAGCGCCATACTCCGACAAATTGATACAATATGATGATGAATGTTGCATAGTTTTTTGTACATTTGTGTTTACAGCTTATACCTGAAGTATTTTTCGTAAAAATTCTTAAAACTTTGAGAATAAATACATAAACAATCAACAAAACATGTATATTTTCAAACAAGAAAATCGTAAGCGCCAGCGCTAATTGTAGTCGGCAACATAACGTTGTCGTTACTGCGCATGCGATAAATCTCCAAGAATCTTGGAGATTTCATCGTATTTTACCAGGGTCTTCCTCAGCTCACGCGCCACCACGAGGAAGACCCTGGGGACGAGGTTGCGGAAAATGTTATTTTTTCCGGAAATTAAAACATTTTTCCGGAAATAACATAGATTGAATTTTTCAAAAATGCCCTTTGCGCAAAAAATGCAATTTTAATGAAAAATTTTCACGCAAAAAGGGCACTTTGTGCACCCGTTGCACCCATATTCTGCACCCGTACTGCACCCACAAAGTTGAAAATGCAAAAGGCAAGGGGTGCACTTGCACCCGCTGCACCCGTGGTTCCGGCATCCCTGGACCGAACTTATGCCTCAGGTGGAGGTATTCTGATTTATATCCCCCAAAAATTAATTTTCAATATCGCAATGATTTCTCGTTACAAGAAAATAATTATCCGCTTGAATTTATTTGGTTGGAATTTAAGCATCCTAATTCAAAACCCTTCCTGATGGCCATTATGTATCAACCGGGAAATAATACTCTCTGGAGAGATAACTTAAACTATGTATTAGACATGGCTGACAATGAACACAAAGAGATAATTATGTTAGGGGACTTAAACACAAATTTTCAAGATAAACATTCTTATCAACAACTTCATGTTCTAACATCTCAGTATCAGCTTAAACAACTTATTGATGCAGTTACCAGGCCAATATCAGGTAAAACAACTGACCTTATCTTTACCTCTAAGGAAGATAATATTATTAAATCAGGCGTGCTAGATATTGGGATGAGTGACCATTTGCCAATTTTTATCTCTAGAAAAATTAATTCCAGGATCTCAATTAAACAAGGTTTACATACAACGATTAGTTATCGCAGGAAGAAAGATTTTATTGCCAGTGATTTTGACAATGACCTTGTTGAAGAAATCCCGTTAAGCCTTTATGAAATCTTTGATGATCCAAACGATCTATTAGACTGTTGGTACTCTCACTTTATGAAAATTTTGGATAGGCATGCACCTTTAATAAAATGTAGAGTCAGAAATAATAAACTGCCGGGGTGGTTTAATTCTGAAGTACGTTGCTTTAGCCGCAAAAGAGACTTTTTCTTAAAGCAATTTCTAAAAACCAAAATTAAAACTCTGACACATGGTGTACCTACAAAAAATGGAGAAATAGAACTGTTCATATTATTAAAAAGTCAATAGAGGACTACTATAAGAACCTCCTGACTGATAATGTACATAATCCACGACAATTATGGAAAATTCTAAAAGATATCTTGCCGACCAATGACACTGTCTCCCAAATAACACTTAACATTAATGGCAAGGAGATCAGTGATCCTATCGAGGTTGGCGATCTCTTTAATGAATACTTCTCCTCTATTGCAAACAACTTTGATATCAGTTTACTAAACAACCCAATTAATACTCATTTACCAATTGCAACAAATCATATTAAGTTTACAATTCCACTGATAACAATCGATGACATACTAAATCTTGCAGCCGAATTAGACCAGAACAAGTCAACCGGTCTTGATGGTATTCCTGCCTACTTCATCAAGTCCTCGATTCATTCCATTGCACCCATTATACTTCGCATTTGTAATATGAGCATTGAAAATGGCGTCTTTCCCAACATGTGGAAGAAAGCTAGACTGATTCCAATCTATAAAGCTGAAACACGTACTGAGAGAAACAATTACAGGCCCATTTCTATATTACCGATTCTATCTAAACTCCTCGAACGACATGTTGCCAACTCATATGTAAAATTCCTCACAGAAAATGATATTCTATCAAGTTGCCAGCATGGTTTTCGAGCCCATCACTCTTGTGAATCTACTCTAATATTGATCTGTGAACACCTTCTCGATAACATTGAGCAAGGTTTAATTAATGGTATAGCTCTAATTGACCTCTCCAAAGCGTTTGACCTGGTCGATCATAGATTGCTACTGCAGAAATTAGAACAATATGGCATTACTCCAATAGCTTTAAAATGGTTTAAATCGTATCTAAATGATCGTTACCAAGTAGTACAAATTGCATCATCCCTATCCAACCCAGCTCTGATAAAGTCTGGTGTGCCTCAAGGATCTATACTAGGACCAATTCTCTTTCTTATCTTTATTAACGATTTACCCAGTTACGTTGGAAGTTCTAAGCCTTTTTTATTTGCCGATGACTCTACACTAATATCCTCCGGATCGGACCTTCACGAACTTAGTGTCTCTCTAAAGTCAGATATGACCTCAGTGTCCCGTTGGACTAACCATAACAAAATGTCTCTTAATCCTGGCAAGACAAAAATAATGAAAATATATTCCCAATCCAAATTCCCTGATCTTAGTCCAATAACCATTGAAGTCAATAACAATAATGTTAAGAAGATTACATCCGCCATTTTACTTGGAGTTACATTAGACCAACATCTGAAATGGGATAGGCAAATTAATACCATCTACAATATAATCAATTCTAGACTTTACTTGCTCAAACGTATACGTAGCTATCTCACTTTTCAATCCCATATTCAATTATATTACGCACTAATCTACCCACACTTGCTGTATTGTAGCACAGTCTGGGGCAATGCTAATAACGATCTAATTACGTGCCTACTAAAACTACAGAAACGTGCAGCGAGACTAATTCTTGAGCAGTCAACTGAAGTACCTTCAATTGTGCTTTTCCGTAAACTCAACTGGATACCTATTTTTAATTTGATCAAAATGAGAAAAATATTATTGGTATTCAATACTTTAAAAACATCTTGGCCGCCGGATCTTCGTAAATTGTTTGTCTTTGTTCGCGACTCTCATCCAATTCCAACTAGACGTCTATTACAGACTTAAAAGTTCCATCAGTTAAGACTACGCAAGCAAAATCCAAAATTTCCTTCAGTGGTGCAAGTTTATTTAATTCTCTACCATCCGAATTAAAAGATATTGAAAATCACTCAATTTATTCCTATAAAAAGAAGCTCAAAACCTACTTTATTCAATTGAATTATGAAGTAGATCACGTTAATAAATTCCGCTGCATCGATTGTAAGCATATTACTCATTGTCAATGTTACTCTCAATAGGATTTTCTTTTTATATATTACTATTAGATATCGAGGGCCATTGGGAAGAATACTAAATTAAGTAATCAATGTAATCCCTCATTAAATAAAGTTTTATTATTATTATTATTATTAAAACAGTTCTAACACTTTGATTGCATATAATGTGCGTGTAGTTTTTCTCAACCTGCGCCTGCAAAATTATGTACGCGCATGTCGAATCATTGATGCTGCAGAACACGAAACACAGCCTTTTATAAAACAATTACCAAATGGCTTTACGTGACCCATGCCAGTGGCGTAGCCAGAACGATAATTGGGGGGGGGGCATATTCATATATTCGTGTTCTGCTTTGTTAATTTCTTTTGAAATCAATTGTTTTTATGGTATGTGAACACGAATATATGAATATGCCCCCCCCCCCCAATTATCGTTCTGGCTACGCCACTGATCCATGCACGAGGGTTGTCGCGAGACTTTCGGAAAGCGTAAAAATACACTCGCCTGCGGCTCGAGTATTTTTATGCTTTCCAAAAGTCTCGCGACATCCCTCGTGCATGGATCACGCAATTCTGCACGGAAAATCATTCCGTATTCCTTTAACAATATAAATGTATAGAACAGGTATGGTATTACGAATGTATAGACTAGCTAGTGTTCGCATCAAGTTGTTTTCTTTATTATATTCTGCAAAGATGATTCCGAAATTTCGAAAAAAATATCGAATTTTTCCATGATGTTTTACAGAGAAACGTCACAACTGCAACCTCCCCCCCTCCCCCTACAACCCCCACACCCCCCCAAATGTCCATATGACTTTTCTCCTGGAATTTAAAAAATTCTTGTTGAAAATCGAACACGTAATTGTTCTCTTTCAAACCATTGTGCCATTCCAAAAATCTTTCTTTCTCATCAGGACTCATTCCGTTAGGATGGTAAAACGGATTTGGAGGTATGGGTCCAATGTAGTTTTGATTCTCGGTTGTGTTATTTTGGAAAAGTCTCATGAGTCATGGGTATGAAACTGAGAGAGTCGATTAATTTGATATTGAACATGGGAACGTTCAACATTAGGATCTTGGCACCACGCATAATCATTTTCGGGAAAAACACCATTCTGGTGTAAGTATTGGTGAATGAAATACCCGTCCTAACCTTGAAAGTTGTGAGCCATTACGATACAGTTTGCATGTTCCTTTTGTAAATAGCCATTCACAAAATTCATTTCTCGTATTCTCCCCTTTGAATACCAATTCGACTCCTGCTTCATTTTTCACTACGCACAAGTTTGATTGAAATATGCGTGATTTCCATTCTTGGTTTGGTTGAAATATCCGTGATTTCCATCGACGGCATTCGAAGTCGAAAAATAGCAGTTCGTTGCACCCACTTTGAGGGGCGTCGTCATTGGCTTCGGTATCGAGCAAGTTCGTAGCTTCGATTCTTTCCATCTCAGGTTGCATGTAACACTGATGATTCTCGAGGTGGACGTATTCCTTACATGTCGAACAACGCATCAAGCTGCAGTGCATGATTCCGCCTAATTTACATGCGTCAAGACATAAATGATTGATAATTTTATCACACCCCTGCATTTACAGGTCCCAGGCATGCTTGTAATGCTTGTAATGACCTGACCTTATAAAACCAGGCATGCTTGTAATGACCTCGCAGTGATTGTCATGCAAAAACAAATAAATCCTTTTCTCTTTATCAGTTCAGGAAAAAATGGCAGAATTTTAATATTCTTTTGAAACTATGTTAATTTGATAATTCGATAAATACGCTTGAAAAAATTTGACTTCGTCTAAACCACACTTTGCTATAGCAACAGCGGAGTTTTCGTGCAAATCATTAGCTAAACACTCTTGTAATGAATTGCGATGATTGATTATCACCTTTTAGTATTATACCTACTAGTAGGCTATCATGTATCGTGCGTTCTGATTGGCTACGGTACAAGTAGGCTATTAGTGATAGCCTACTAGTAGCGACAACTAAGCGGCCAAACCGCGAAGGGCGCGAGTTTTTAAGTATTAAAAGCTGCATTTGAAGGAAAAAAGGTTATTAAAATGGCCTAATTTTGGTTCTGGATTACACATACAAACAAAGACTCTTGGAAACTGCTGAGACATACGGTAAAATTTTTCTCAATTTCGCTCGTAGTTTTGAATCTCGTTTGAACATGAAAGTGACAGGCGATTTTCTAAATATATGTACAATGTTTGTTAATATTCCAAGTAGAATCGTTGAAATTCAACAATAGATTGTAGCTACTTACCCCTATTTTCCCAACCTTTTTAACATGTGCTTGTTTTAAGTACGAATTCATGTATTTAGCTGTCATTTTAAAGAGTTTTTTCGTTTATTGATATGTCGAGTTTTTGACCGAGTTTGTGTTTCGCCTTTTTAATCGAGTTATTCGATTAAATTTTAATCTAAGCTTTTGTCTATATATGTATACTAGATGATGGAAATGGTTTGCCTATTTATTTTTCCAGATATTTCAAAGATTTTAACGACATTCGGATCAGTTTTGCGTGCATTTTTATTCGGCTTTTTAACGTAAACTTTATTTAGTAACAATTCGGGAATAGGAATATCGCCCCCCTTTAGGAATTTCGCCACCCCCCCCCCTATATAAATTTTGAATTTTTTATCTAAAAACAAAACGATTGCAAGTTGAAAAGATTTATTGTGTGATTTATTTATTTATTACTAGAAGTTACTATCGCAAGGAAAGTGCTGCCTCACACCCAAGGGATCAAAGGCACCATGCACAATTTGCTGAATAAGGAGCTGTTTATATGATCTATCTTTGCCAGGACAAGCTATGAGGCGGATGAATTCGGTGTATTGAAAGATGTCATGGTGCATGATTCAACAAAAATTTCATTATTTTCTAGAGATAGTTTGTAGTTAACTGTAAACGAAAGTATATTTTGTGTTAAATATATAGACCACAGTAAGACTTTTTAATTCTTACTACCTGAAGATGGAGTAAATCTCTGAAACGTCGTTTGTTAATGTAACAAACACATTTAAAAAAGTCTTTACTGTGGTCTATATATTGAACACAAAATATATTATTAACATGAGGCTTAGGGAACGTTCAGTCCTAAACATTTTGTAAACGAAAGGTTTTTTCAAGCACCAATAATAATCTTCTTGAACACAAGATCTTCTCTACAATATTTGAGTTCTGTTAACCAGCATTTAAACTTTTGTTTAGCCCAGTGACTTATTTCAATACAACAAAATCATCCCACCTTCCATTATGTAAACAGCCCCTAAGGCACCTGTTCAGGGGGTAGGATTTTTTGGCATGGGCGGTTTTGCACGAATACCTTCAATGCTTATAACTTCTTGCTTTTGTATATATAATTATAATGCTGTCAGTGGTGAAGATATCCATACCAACAGGTCATGCTATGCAAGTTTTATCAGCATAGGCATAGCATGACCAGTTGCAATGACTAGCTCGCCACTAACCAGAGATCAGACTCTATTTTACAAATATAGCCTGACACAAACACCACCCACAGCAAAGTTTATATTTAGTATCCAATTACAACGTCGCAGGACAAATTTAAATTTCACACAACGACAACAACAATCTAATTATAGTTGTGCTCACTATAAAATATATCATCAACAATAGTGTAAATATCTAATTAGTACCAACCAATCAAACGACAGGTTAAAAATCTTTTGTCTCATTAAATCTAATTAGATTTACAACCGAAATATGGCTGTAAGGTATGTTAAGGTTTGTAGCAGGCCTAGTTATTTATTTATAGGCCTGATCGCAGGTTAGCTCACCACTGAATACTGTACAATATCATATATTTTATATACATAAACGATAATAATACTTGAATGAATCATTGGACATGTAGAATTTAATAACAATTTCATGTACAGGGTGTCCCAAAAAACCCGAAAACTATTGAAATCACTTATTGTTAAAATTGAATGCCCTACCAAAAAGCTGAACGTAATGATGCGTAAAATATTGACAAGGTGCATGTATTAGAATTTAGTTAAGACATCTCCTTGTAAAGTGCGCGATTTTCTGCTCTTGAGAATTTAAAGCAGCTTCTTAAATAGTTTCTTTATGCATAAAATTTACTTGGTCAATCATTTATGCACTCGTGGGAACCAACAGAGTGCTAAGGCATTCAAATTCTAACAATTGAATTGTTATTACTGATTTCAATAGTTTTCGGGTTTTTTGGGACACCCTGTATAGAAATACTATACAAAACTACCCCTATCGCAGAGCAACTAACATTTTTGTTTAATTTAATACATCAGCTTCAGAGGACACCATTCATTTGTAATACGATTAAGATTGTACTCAGTCAGAACTTCAAAACTATATAATAAGAAAGATATTGTGAGCAATATCGAAAAAAAATATAGTTTTCCCTGAAATGTAATAACACAGCCAGGTGAATATATGAATGTATTATGTAGGCCAGTCCTATCTAGAGATATATTTTTACAGACTGTCATACCTTGTACAAAAGTCGGTTGACATGCTATTACATGTAACTGCTGGTAAGTTAATATTTCCAGACAACCATGGGCGGATTTACTGGGAGGTTAGGTATGGTTAACATCCCCCTATAATCTCTCTAACCCCGAGGTCTTACAAAATGTTCAACACTTCAACCCCACCAAAATTTCGCTTCACCCCTTCTATTTTGCGTGAAAAAGTCTTTAACCCTACCCCCGAGGCTCTACTAGATTCACCCCTCCTTTAAAAAAATGAAAATATGCCCTTGCAGGCAACAATCCAAACTGGATTGCTATATCATTCCACGTTTGTTTTTAAAACGTGCTGAAAGCACATTGCTATAAACATGTAGAATGAACACTATAAACTCATCGCCTTGGGACATCACCACACAAACAAATAAACTATTTAGTTTATCATGATAAATTCATGCTGATAGTTCATGAAATCATAGTGTTCTAAATATAAACGCCTTCGGCTTCATGTATATTTATCCACAGTTAATAGAAGTGTATCGAAGTGCATGTCTATACTGTCAGACTATACAGCCGGTTGAAAAAATTGGCGATGTTTTTCATGATGAAATTGTAGATCATATACACAGACTATCTCAATCCGAATCCGATCCGATCCGAAGATGAAAAAGCAATCCGATCCGAAAAAATGTTTATAAATCCGATCCGATCCGACGCTAAAATTCGTAATCCGATCCGAACTTAAGTTATTATATAGAGCGTGCGTCAATTATTCTGTGTATGAACGTATTTTTTCATGATCATAAACGATATATTGGAAATAATTAATTTCCAGCAAAAATAAGCAGATACGAATCCGATAAAAATTGCAGCGCAATATCACATAATTATGCCTTATACAGTTATGCTAGCGTAGAGAAAAAATTCGACTAGTCACATAGGTATTATATAACAATGCATGACCTTGAGCTGGGTTTACAATTTAAAACATCTTAAAGTTTATCACTAATAAATCTCATTGTCAGTGCTTCATGACACATAAACCCGCTAACAAACTAAACAAAGAATCACGACATTTCTATATCTCAATTCCCATACGCAGGGGCGTAGGAACCGGGGGGGCCAGGGGGGCCATGGCCCCCCCAAGTTTTGGCAAGTGCCCTTTTTACAGACGGCAAAGTGCCCTTTTTGTGCCTGAAAAATTTTCATAAAATTCGCAGTTTTTGTCCAAACGAAACTTTTGAAAACTGTAATGTAGGTTTTTTCCCGAAAAATGTTTTAGTTTCTGATAAAAATATCATATATTTGTTTTTCCGGAAAAAATTTTTAGTATTTAAGGAAAAATATGGTATGTCCGGAAAAATTTTTTACCCCTAAAATGGTACACTGACCGAATTTTTTTTGGCGACGGGGGGGGGAGGTCGCCAAAAATTTTTTTTGAGATGCCCTTTTTTTTTTGAAAGTGCCTCTCAAAGCCTGGCCCCCCCCAACTTTTCTAAGCTTCCTACGCCCCTGCCCATACGTAACCGATTTAAGAAGAATCCACATAATGCCAGGTTTCTTTTGTCAGGAATATCAAAACACTTTTCTACTTTATTGTCATCGCTCAGAATTATATAGTATTACTCCGCTTCGACCAAATCACTCGGCTTACTCGGCTCCAAAGCCTTCCAAGCACTTCCTGCTATAGAACTATTTTAATTTGTTAAAATATTCGAGTAATTCGACGCAATACAAGAAAAAACCAAATCCGATCCGATCCGACCAAAAGCCTACAAAATCCGATCGGATCCGAGTGAATTACTGTCCGAATCCGATCCGAATCCGATCGGATTGGATCGGATTCGGATCGGATTTGCACACCTTTAGTGTGCACAGCTGGCATAACCGCTCATTTGAGGTACTTAGTCTTAGACTAGTGACCAGCAGTGAACTCAAAAGACCTGGAACGATA